GTATGGAATCAAGCTAAATACCTAAACAGTAATGGTATCTCTCAATTCTACAATGTTGTTGATAATTGACTTAACATGAAGAAAGATGGTATTGATATGGAAAATTTATAGGTAAAGCTTAAAGTTTGATAACTGAGTTTGGTACACTCATGCTTATTGGAAGAGCACCTGTAGAGAAACTTACCCAATGATAGAAATTCATTGTAGTATTTTTCCTAACCAAATTAAGTTCAAAATGTGAAAGTACTCGGATTCAAATCCTTGGAAGCGACATTGTCTCATGAATTGTCGAGTTGTTCAAACGCCAATTGCAGGTAACCTCCACTCCAATTGTTCACACATCTACTTCCAAACAATATGCTCTAGTGACGCAAGGAGGTCGTGGATGAACTAGAGATCATGGTGGACAAAAAACACTAAAAATTGTGATTATTGCAATAAATTTGGACACACATGGGATCAATGTTTGAAACTTCATGGAAAACTAATGGTTACTTAAGTTAGTGTCGCTCAATCTCAACCGGGAGAACCAAGTTCTTGAACTATTTTCGCAACTGAATATAAAAAGTTTTTTCGATTTAAAGCCAATGCCAAGGCTTTCGGTGTCACCCCCGTAGCCCACACTGGAGGAATTCATACTGCCCTTATATCCCAATCTTGCCTTAGTGAACCATATGTTATTGATTTAGGTGCCTCTAAATATATCTATGGTAACTCATCTTTATTTTCTCATTTCATCAATTATAAGTCTCTTCCATCTATCGTTTTAAGTAATGGGTCAAAATGTATTAACTACTGGAATTGGAAAAGCTTCACCCCTTCATACTCCGCCTTTGTCTAGGATTTTTTAAATACCTAAATTTCCTTTCAAAAGTATATATATATACATGTCGAGTATCTCTATCAACATCCAACACTATTGTTGATTTTACTTGCAATAATTATTGGAGAAGACATAAACACCCTTGGCTAAATTGGTAAAGAAAGGGTTTTATTGTAATTGTCTTGTATAGGGTTGTTATAACCGTTTCTTTCCTCGTTGGCTTGATAGCATATATGCGTTGTATTCTTCTCCTCTTAGAGCTAATAAAACTTTCACTTCTTCTTTCATCTCACCAACTCTGCTCCTCCTCATTGAACTTCCGATATGGTATCAGAGCAGCGGCGAGCAAGTTACGCCGCAGCAGTCACTAGTTCCGGCGAGTCCAGTCAGGGAGTTCATCCGGCATCCCCGATCACTAGATCTCCTGTTCGCGCATCACCAATAACCAATGCGCAGAGAGTACAGGTTCCGTAGAGGAACAACATCATTGAAGACATAGACAACCCGCTATATTTGAACGTCAATGAGAACGCCAATGCTGTTCTAGTCAGTTCGCCTCTCACCGGTAGTGGAAATTACGGATCGTGGAGTATCTCCATGCGCGTTGCACTTGAAATGAAGAATAAATTGGTCCTGGTTAACGGAAGCTTCATCGCACCAGAAAATAGTCACGTCCAGTACGGTGCTTGGAGGAGATGTAATCTCATCGTCAAGTCATGGATCCTGAAATCTGTCAACACATCAATAGCGCAGAGTGTGATGTACATGGAAGAGGCCAAGGAAATCTGGAATGACCTGAGAAGAATATTTTCCCAATGAGATGCACATCGCATCTCATCTCTGCAAAATGAAATCTACGGCTTAAAATAGGGAAGCATGACAGTCAACAACTACTACACCAACTGTCGAACACTTTGGGAAGAGATGAATGCTCTTCGACCTCTTCCGATCTGCAAATGCGTACCACGCTGCTCATGTGACCTTGTAGATGAAATCAGGAAGGACAGAGAGATTGATCAAATAATAAGATTTTTGTAGGGCTTGAAGGATGACTACAACTCCTTGAAATCTGGAGTTCTTGTTCTTGATCCTCTTCCCGAGATGCACAAGATGCAAAACACAGGAGATTCCCTTTTCCCATAAGTACCACTACATCTACGACTTGATTTAATTTAGTCCATATGGAGATATGGGGCCCTTTTCATGTTGAAACACTAAGAGGGGAAATATATTTTCTAACCATTGTGGATGATCATTCTAGACATACGTGGTTGAAGCTCATAAGACACAAATCATACACTCGGGAATTGATAAAAGATTTTTTCAAGATGGTGCATACTCAATTTGGAGTAATCATAAATATTGTGAGAAGTGATAATGGTCTAGAGTTTGATTTGAAGGAATTCTTCAACAAAAATGGTACTATCCACCAGAGGTCATGCGTTAGTACTCAACAGAATGCCATGGTTGAGAGAAAACACCAACACATCCTAGCAGTAGCTCGAGCTCTAAGGTTCCAGGCAGGCCTTCCTCTTGAACTTTGGGGCTAGTGTGTCATGCATGCAGTATACCTCATCAACAGACTACCATCAGCAATTCTTGATTGGTCGAGTCCGTATTGGAAGTTGTATGGTAAGCCTTCTAATCTCAGCACCTTAAGAGTATTAGGGTGTTTATGCTATGCTGCTACTCTCACTAACTCATGACATAAGATGGCTCCACGAAGCAGAAGATGTGTGTTTATTGGTGTGCCTGCAGGAGTGAAAGGCCACATTGTGTATGACATAGCTGAAAGAACCATATTCATCTCTCGGGATGTGGTATTCTATGAGAACAAGTTTCCTCTTATCTCTTAGATCAATCACACAGATGATACTAACATGCAGAGCATGGTTCCATCCTTGCCTAACATTTCCACAATTGAATATGTGGACTCTAGTCCTCAGGTACACCAGCAGCCACATGAGAAACCTGCAGCAGCAGACATGTCACAATCCTATAATGGAGTTGAATACAATGAGCAGCCTTCAGCTTCTAAACACAGTGAACACAATGAGTCTATCTCAGCTTCTGAAGGAAGCACCACCAATGATCATGCAGATACTACTGAAGATAGCATGAGTGGTCCTAATCCAATCCATACTGTCCAGATTCGACGTTCTAGTAGACAGAGGCAGCCATCCAGCAGACTACAAGACTATTATTGTGATAATGTTGTCCACAATAAGACTTCACCACATCATCTATCAAAAGTGGTGTCATATGACAATCTTGAGCCGTCTCACAAAAGTTTTGCTATGTCAGTCTCTTCAACGAGTGAGCCGAGAACCTACACACAAGAAGTTAAACACGCTTGCTGGAGAGAAGCTATGCTCGCGGAAATTACTGCACTCCAAGAGAACAAGACTTGGCAACTCACTGAACTACCTCCGGGAAAGGTCCCCATAGGCTGCAAGTGGGTATACAAAGTAAAATTGAAGGCTGATGGCACAGTCGAGAGGTACAAGGCGAGACTCGTAGCAAAAGGGTATATGCAGCAGCTTGGTATCGATTACCTCGAGACATTTTCACCAGTTGCTAGGCTAACAACGATCAGGACTTTTCTGTGCACAACCATTTCCAGATCATGGCACATTCATCAGCTATACGTTAACAACGCCTTCTTACATGTCGATCTAAATGAGGAGGTATATATGGTGCTACCCCCAGGATTTGAGAATGAAAAACAGAACCTTGTATGCAAATTGTTGAGGTCTTTATATTGATTAAAGCAGGCGAGCCGTCAGTGGAATGCCAAACTCAGTGCAGCCCTCATTCATATTTGTTTTAAACAATCCAAAGTTGATCCGTCCTTGTTTACAAAAGGTGAAGGTCTCAACTTTATTGCTCTTTTGGTATATGTCGATGACATACTTGTCACTAGTGCAGAACTGGAACCAATTCAAAGCCTAAAACAGTTTCTGGATTCCACATTCAAGATCAAAGATCTAGGAACACTAAGCTACTTCCTAGGGATCGAGGCACACATGGGAAAAACAGGCCTGACCATATGTCAACGAAAATACTCTCTAGAAATCTTGGAGGAAGATGGATTCCTGGAGTGTAAACCTGTTAGTACACCCATGATTTCAGGCTCGAAGCTCGCTCACAATGAAGGAAGCCCTATTAGTGATCCCGGATTGTACAGAAGGTTAATCGGACGACTATTGTACCTCACGGCTACTAGGCTTGATATCACATACGCAGTACAACAGCTAAGCCAGTTCGTTGATATTCCCACAAATACTCACTTGGCAGCGGCTCATCGTATATTAAGATACATTAAGGGTGCACCAGGCCAGAGATTATTCTACCCTATACAAACAGAAATGCATCTCAAGGCTTTCTCGGACTCGGACTGGGCAGCATACACAGAGACACGCAAGTCCATCACCGGTTACTGCGTCTTCCTTGGCGCATCCCTCATATCATGGCGATCGAAGAAACAAGTCACTGTGTCTCATTCTAGCTCAGAAGCTGAGTATCGGGCACTTGCAGCTACTGTGTGTGAAGTTCAATGGCTTGAGTATTTACTTCATGATCTACAGCTTATATCAGATAGACCAGCCACTCTATTCTGTGATAGCAGATCTGCAGTCGCAATTGCTGAGAATTGTGTCTTCCACGAATGCACCAAGCACATCGAGATTGATTGCCATGTGGTTCGTGAGAAGATAAAACTCTTATCTGTGTCCTCCATAAATCAAACTGCAGATGTTTTACAAAGCCTTTGGCTACTTCTCTGTTTCAAGGTTTCATGGCTAAGCTTGGTACACACGACATGTATACGCCAAGCTTACGGGGTGGGTGGGGGGGTATTGGAGAAGACATAAACACCCTTGGTTAAATTGGTAAAGTAAGGGTGTTATTGTAATTGCCTTGTATAGGGTTGTTATAACCGTTTCTTGCCATGTTGGCTTGATAGCATATATGCTTTGTATTCTTCTCCTCTCAGAGCTAATGAAACTTTCGCTTCTTCTTTCATCTCACCAACTCTGCTCCTCTTCATTGAACTTCCGATAATAATAACAATTAGAAAATAAATAAACATAAATCAGCCAGCATGTACTTGAATTTTCAAAACATCCATTAACTCGATCAAAGTTTAACAAAAAGAAGCTTCGCTGGGAAAAATTAGGAAAAGAAAACATCTTTGCAGAATAATTCAACCATAAAAATCCTTGTGGCAAAACCATGAATCAAATACAATAGCACCAACAAAAACTACAACAACGAATCGAGAATTCAAGACACAAAACTGGAAAAATAAAAACCTTTGGGAAGCGAAGCATCCTCTTTCGATTTACCAACTATGTCCATAGATTCCATCTTATCCCTTGAAAAAGAAAAACTGATTCAGAATTAAACCAACAAAGATTCATAATTAATTAATTACACATGCGAAGAAATCAATTGATTAGCAGATCTAAACACCAGCGCAAGGATAAAAAATGAGAAAAACATACTAAAACCAAACACTTCACATTCTACGATTAGTTTAGAGTTTTAGGCATAATGGAACACAACCTTCAATAGGAAAAACAGGAAATCAAGGGCTAACCAGAAAAGAGTTACCAACTACGGAAATTCTCCATTTCTCTGTAAACATTCAATCAAGATTATAAAAAGTAAAAAATAAAAAACGAACTATACTTGGGAACACGAACGCTGCCGGAGATGTGGCGTCTATCCTCGCTGTTGACGCTGTTCGTAGCTGCTGGAGGTCACCACCGGTCTGCTCACGCCTCTAGGCTTGTCGTCGCTGTTACTCCTTCTTCGTCGCCGATGCTCAAGCCCTTCATCGTCCCCTCCCCTGTTCGTCGTCGAAGCTTCTCTCTCCGATGATGGTCGCCGAGTCTCGCAGTCGCCTAATGCTAGGGTTTGTGGAGACGAGGGAGATTGCAAAACCTGCAATTGCATTTGCATTTTTTTAAAAAAATTTCATTTGGACAATAGATTTCAAATATAATTTCAAGTACTTTTCGCTAGAGTTGTATTTAGAACAGTAGCTAAAAGGCTATGATTTTTTAGAATTGCACTTTTAGCAACCGTTGTGATCATACAACAGTTGCTAATTGTTGTTTACAATATTACAAAAATTCCTACTCTGTCTCAAATAATAGTTGCCTATAGTCTAATATTTATTGTCAAGTGTATATTGGTGCAGGTGAAAAAAAAAAAAAGAAGAAGAAAGGAATACTAAACAGATTATGCAAAGAAAATAAACAAAAGATCAAATGAAAGAGAAATAGATAGAACATACCCACACATTCTTGCCGTCAACAATAATGCAAGTTACCCAAAATTTGTTGTGCCCCATCTCTTCTTGATACCTCTTGGCAGAAGTGGCAACAAAAGGAGGACATTACTCCAACTTAATTGACAGCAACCAGTGCTTTATTGCACTTACAGGAGGGATCTCTTCTAGAGAATAACAACGTTTTAAGAATATGAATTGGAGCTTTGGGAAATGATTACAAGTATTGGCCACCCATCGCTCAAGACTTCTGGATTCAACCTCCAACTCTTTTAATTCAGGGAATCTTCCTTCAACCACTTCCCACACTCTATCATAGAAAGCATTCTCTAGTTTCAGCACCTTAAGCTTTGGTAATTGCCCAATTACCATTAAAACCTTCATCGGAAAATTAGTCCCACTCAACCTCAACTTCTTCAATTTTGTAGGAAAACCAACTCGCTCTAAAAGGGTTATACTACCAACTGGAACCATAACCGTTAGAGTCTCCAACCTCAATAAATCCTCAAAATTCTCCAAAATGATGATAGGATTTCTGCGACATCGCCCACCGCTGCAACCGGGCACTAAGACGTCTTTATACCCAACTTCCAATTTTCTTATGCTTGGAAACTTGCAATAATACACTTCTTTTTTCTTGAAATGAATTGGCATTGCACAAACTAATGTTTGCAAATGCTCTTTAACCATGTTTGGAGGATATATCATATACATATCCCCAAGTTTGAGATGCCTTAAATGTTGCAGCTCCCAAATTTTGGATGGCAAATGAATAGTATGTGCTCCAAGTGTTGATTCATTAATGCCAGAAATAGTAAATGTTTGCAAATTTGAATTACTTGATACTACATCATCAAAACTCTCTATTAGTGATATTATTATTTGAGATATTATTTGTAACACCCCCGATTTTCACAACTTTGAGATATTATTATTTGAGATATTATTTGTAACACCCCCGATTTTCACAACTTTTAAAACTTAATTTAAAGTTTAAGAAAAGGATAAAGACTACACATTAAGATAAGACAAAGCGGAAGCAACTTAATTAAGTACGGGAGATGTTATGTCACACCTATACATCTATAGGTGCACAGGCTAAGTCTAAACATATATCCAAATCAAGCTTATACAAAACCATGGCTCACAGGCCAAAGGTCTAACGGAGACAGTCTTAGGGAGCAACACTATCTACCAAACAGCTAGCGCGCTCTCCGAAAGCTACTCAAAACCTGTAAAGCAACATAAAGAAGGGGATGACACCCGGTCAACGAACATTGCTGGTAACCCATCAATACGCGTTAAATAGCATATATAGATAGTATAAGTCAAAACCATTTTCGAAACGGAATACAGTATATATCATTTCAAAAGTCATAGAGAGAAGTCAACTGCAAAGACTCATTCACACTCTCAAAGGAAAAAGGGAAATCAACATCCCAAGACAACAGCAAGACAAGATTACAAACTATAACAAATACAACTCGAGGTGTATTCTACTGATCACAAAGTAGAATATATCTCGACATGCTCATTAGCAAAGAACACATACACACATTGGCAACTACATGCCACAGTGACAACTACATGTCACAAGAACACAATTCCAAGTTCCAACCTTATGCTCTGTTCCAACTTTATGGCTACCCATGGCCTCATTTCAGTTCCAACCATTCCTCCTAGTGCCACCCTGTACTTCAGAGTCCAACCTTATACCGGCAGGGACCGTCGTCCCCCCTCCAACATAGCCTCCAATGTACCACCTATTCATGAGTACACGAGGGTACTTTTCATTTCAAACACACAACCTCCAACATATGAGCCTACGCTCAGGTCACACCACCAATTTGATTCATGGCCACACGAGGACCACATCGGTACCTTGAAGATTAAGGCCCCATAACCATAATCGTGCGGTCAAGGTACCACAAGTACATACGTTTTCATCACAGGAATCAATCAATGGATCACAACAAAGATATGAAACAATACTCAACAATAAAGGATTACAATCCGACAACAACGATGGTCAACACAAGTTGCCAATCTCAATAGGAAAGAACAAACCGCACACACTAGCATTTCAACATCAAACTAGCATGCTTATCAAACGGGCAAACCAAAATAGTTCCAATGAACATACAAGACTCACCATAGTCCAACGAATCACAAAGTTGGACACTTAGCACGATTCAAGACCCTAAATCCTACATGGATTCCTAACGTACCGTTCTAGACATACGAAACATCAAGAAGACACTCAAATAGCCCAATAAAACACCACCGGGAGGTCAAATCATCAATACCGAGTCAAAAGAATCACGGGGAACAAATCCCCGAACGGCATCAACAGTGTACCCCGCGGGTGGGGCCACGGGTGGACCTCCACCCGTGGTTCCGCCCACGGTACGAACCCACTCTCCACATGTACCCCGCAGGTGGGGCGGCGTGTAACAACCCTAATTTTTAAAAGTTTTAAAGCTTATGAAATAAAGGCAATTCTATTATCAAATCCAAAACAGAGCATAAACTAAACATAATTGTCAGGGTGCTATTCCACATCTGAGCTGGAGAACTCAGATGTACAGGCTAAACTATCCAAGCATAAGAAATCCTCAAATCAATATCTATTACAACTTCAAGGCACGCAGGCCGATAACAGAACTATCTAGCTAGGTTCTTGGGTCTGACTAGCGTGCTCCGGAGCTACTCATCTGTGCCTGAAAGCCAAATATATCCGTTCAGCAAATAATGCTGGTAACCCACTCCAACGCGTTAAGTACAATATAGATAGATATAAGTAAAATCATTTTGAAGCCGGAATACATATATACTTATGAAACTCTGATTTAAAACCGAGGACCGACTCAATCAAGCAATGACAGGTACATTCAATATAATTACTCATACACATAAAGATTCTAGTACGCATCCTAAGGTCACAAGACTATCCAACGTCAGTCATATCAATATCCAATTACTATCACAATCAACAATAAGACATGTATGCACATATAGTGGTGCCGCAGGACCCTTCACATGCCCATACATGAAGGCCAGTGCATATAGCTCTGACATGGCCCCGCAGTACTTTACTTGTACCGCAACACAAGGAGATTGATCGCAACTAATCAATGAACCGCAACTCATTTATATCATAAACGTTTGATCACAACCAAACGGTGGACCGCAGCCTTATTATCATGTGTATCTGATCGCAACCAGATTATGGGCCGCTGCCATATATATATAACAGCCGATTGTTCTCAACCAATCCAACTGCCTTTATAGCCAACCGATCGCAACCGGTCGGGTTAATACCTGATGGTTCTCAACCCATCAGATAGTCATTATAGCCAATTGATCGCAACCAATTGGGGTATCATGCACAAATAACATAGAAGCCAAACAACATGCAACCCACATTAACACATAACGAGGGAGAATCATCGGGAACACTTATCCTAATATAACTCATACGTAACAAACCATATTAAACCACTCGTGATACTCCTAAGGGATCATGCACCTTCCTCCTAGGCCAACGGGATACCAATTCAACTAGCATGAAATACACCAGACTCTTTTATCCTAAGAACGGCACACGAAACATCAAACTAGACTCACATACGACAAACGGGACACAACGGGACACGCGGAAACATCGAACGGGGGAAAACATCACGACTTGTACCAAGATTCCAGCGGGTGCCCGGCGGGCAGCTGTTTGCCCGCCGGCTGCCCGCTGGGAGTTGGGCACGGGGCAGCGGGTAGGTGGCGGGCACCCCTGCCCCCACCTACCCTCCACTGACTCCTATGTAATATTTTGGTCCCGGGATCCTTCGTAGAACCCGAAACCATGTCCAGACACGTTCAAACACAAACGACGACATCACGTATTCAAGTAACGGATTTAAACCAAGAACCACACCAAATACATCTTAACACGACTCCTAAACATACCAGACTCAACACCCGAACATGCAAAATCCCACCCAAACATACCAAAACCACATAGTACGAAATCCACGTTTATTACCCTAGGGCTCTAGACATAATTGAAACACAAGATCGTTTATATAATTTATCGTAGAATCAAGAACATCAAGATTATCACATAAGTATCAAGATTAACACATAAACATCAAGATTATCTCATAAACACAACATAAACCTTAGGCAAAGCTTTATCACGACTCGAGCACAGAATCATATATCAAAGGAGCCAATGAATAAGATATAGCGAGGAAAATAGGTTTTGTTGAGACATGGGTTACCTCTTAGCCTTAATCAATATCCTTCGCTACTAAGGTTCTTTCTCTAAGATCTTCTCTCTGTGGGTTCTCTTACGTTTGGTGACAGGGGAAATCCTGAGAGTATCTTGTGTGGTAGAATCAATAGTGGTGGGATTTCTAGGTGCCTCCTAAGTCCTTATATATATTTAGGAGTCCTAACTAGGGTCTGAATAGTAAGGATTCACTTATTCTATTCCTTATAGGACTAAGGGTTTGGTTTAAGGATAAGGGTCCATGATCCATAGTGGGCCCCCCTCAATTAATTAAGGGGATCCTCACCCAATCAGATCCCTTTTCTAATTATTATTTATGGTAAACAATTAAACAATTAGTCCGGGTTAGAGGCCGTAACACGGGGTGTTACACGGCGGGTGGAGC